AAGAGGGAGAAAGGGAGAAAGAGACGGCTGAGAGCGAGCGACGTCCGCGTTGGTCCGCGGAGTCCCGGCCGTCTCGGAGCGAGAAGGGCGCGGGTACCCGCGGTGTAAACGTATAATTGGCTGCACTTAAATCTCTATAACGCGGCAGTAAAAATGCGCGGTGCGCCGCGTAAATCAACACGAGGACGATATGGCTCCCACACCGGCTGCCCCTCGCACTCGTAAACGCGTCGTAGGGAAACGCGCGTGGTGTACACGCGCGAGAGCCGCCGACCCGTGCCCGGGACAATTTTCGCGACTTTCCGGCTGCGATTTATCGCCGCGGTAAATTCGAGCTTGATTCCGGGGACCGTTTAATTTTCGCCGCGACGCGAGCTCCGGACACTTGTTTCCGTTCGAGCGTGCACGCGTGTTCGGGGCGAGCCGACGCGACGAGCGGGTCGGTTTAAACTCCGTGCGACGGAGCCGCGTGCACGATCGGGAACCGTGTCGTTGATCTCGATCGGATCGGGTCCGGTGAAACGGCTTGGCCTTATCAGCGACAGGACGTGGGCTGTCGGTCACGCGCGAATGCCGATGCAGCCGGATTACCCGGCAACGCGTTCCTCCTCGAATGGCGCAGATCGTTGATCGCGCGTCAATATGGAACTCCTGGAATATACGCGTATTCGAGATCGCGTTGCGAAACCGAGGTGAAAAGCTCCGCGGCGCGCCGCGCCGCGCCGCGCGCACTGCTCTCGGGATTTCGTCCTTTTTTCTCTCCTCGCGTTCCTTTCTTTTTTATTCTTTTTTTTTCTCTTCTTCTTTCCCGTTTGCTCGCCGCGTGTAATCCCTGATTGTATTAGACCGCTGAACGGGCAACCCGGTTTCTGTCTTTGGATTTACTTTATAAATTCGCGAGCGGAACCTGAATGTTCCTCGTTGAATGAATGTAAGTCGATTTTATTAGGTCTCGGAGGAAATAATCCAGTATGAGTTTTTTATAATTTCGTAACCCGGTTTAAATTCGAAACGTGTTCCCCGGCATTTTTCTCCTCGCACGACTCCTTCGCCGCGGCTGTCGTTCGCGTAATGCTAGCTGATGGCCTATATATCAGGTTTCGTAGAAAAGTCTTTTCGTTTCGTTTTCGATATGGCGTCCCGTGCACGCGGAATAAACGTTGCGAACGGACGCGCGTATGGGTACGCCGAGAAGTGGCGGGAAGAAGCCGAGCGGAATCGACGGTATAAAGTTTAATGGGATTGAATGCCGTTTGAACCGCAGTTACGGTTTCCGTCAAAATAAGTATTGAATGTCGAGAACGGTATTACAGATCATTCACCGGTGCACGCTTCTTCGTACTCCATTAAAAATCCGCGCTATCGAGGCAGCAATCACCGAGATGGCCTCGGTAAGAATGCCGCCGCGAGGACAGACGAATCGGTTCGGATACACGGGAAAAAAATTAATCGATACAAAGTTGGCACGCTACTAGACGGCCGTAGAATTTTTCCTCCCCCGTGTTTTGCTCCGGACGCGATCCAGTCATCGTCTATTTCTCAAGAGTCCCCTAATACGTCAGCACGGCGACGTTCATCTCGCGTTTCTTGCCAGCCGGCCACGGTTTTTCGGTGGGATTAGTTTCTCCCGCGGAAATGAGAAATTCTTGACGAGCGGAGGAGACCACGCTTCTTCGGCTGATACGTCGGGGCACGGTAACGGCGGCGCGCACGATCGGCACGCTACATTAACTCGATTCACCGAGTAAATTAACTGCAATCAGGGGGACGCTCCGCTGGCCATTCCGCTATTCCGCTAGCCGGCTGCCGGCCGTTCCGCGCGCCTCCAGACCGCTCTATTCGTCCGCGCGGACTCGCCATTACGCCCGCGGGAACACGAAACCTGAGGGAAGGGAGGACCTAACGTCGTTTTTGCTGGCCGTACAAGGACCACCGCAAACTGCTCTTGTCCGCCGGACGAAAACAAGGCTGGCCCCGGCGGGACCGGGAAACTGGGCGACGCCGAGACTCCCTGCTCCTTGTGAACCCAACCGTAAGGATTCACGCTGATGACGTGATTTCTTGGCCGTTATTGCGCGGTCGCATACATCTGGAGTGCCCGCGGAAGCTTTCTTGCGACCGGACAGTCGCGCGGCTTCCTTGTTACGACGGGTTTTTACGGTTCCCCTATTGTCGTGTGCGATGAACGATCTTCCGCAGTCTCTGATTCATCGGCCGAGGAACGGAACCTTTTCATTCATGGAGTCACTCCGGCGTGGTTATGAACCTTTTCCGGTCCGACGAGCTCGCGGTCTTTCATCCGCGTTGTTTAACGTAATCGCGTTTTAATAGTTCGCTTCGCCGCTTTCCGTTGCTGTTCACCTTTAATTATGTATTTTTCTAATGGACAAGTCAACCGGCGAACGGATTAAACGATGGCGAGTAGCTAAAGCGTCATGGTTCTACACTCGGTTTCACCCAATACACCATAGTGAACGTTCGAGAATTCCACCTCTAGTGCAACATTCCTCCCTCGGCCATTATCTTCGTGGCCCGAGGTACGTCAGTCCGCCGGCACGGAATCTCGACTGTGAATCGAATGGCAGGTGGTCAAGCTTGATCGAAGTCGGCCGTCCCGCCTCCCGGCTACCCCGAAATTCTTCGGGAAAGCGTGGAACGCGCTGGGATACGTCTAACGTGGCTCCGATTTCCATCGATCTCCCGTCGTTCCGGTCCGTTCGTTCCCGCGACGGACAAATTTTTCGTTCTCCGACGATCGAGCCCCGTCCCGCAGACCCGGGCGAATTCAAAGTTAATCTCGGCCACGAGACTGCTCCCTCGTCCTGCCGCGGGGGGACAAGGGTGCGCGATGGCGCCCCCGGGCGACCTGTCATCGTGAAACCCCTGGGAGCAGCCGGGCTCACCCTGATCTCTCTGTTACGATAGAACCTTGGGAACCGGAGCCTTGGGCAGCACGATAAGGCTCGGTCATTTATAATCCGTCGGCGTAAGTAGCCTGCCGTTCTCCTTCCGCGCTGATTGAGAGAGAAAGGAATAAAGGGAGCCTCGAACTTCCGGCCGTTCCAGCGAGATGGATCGGCGGGGACGCCAGGTGAATTTCTGATGATGATGTTTTCGCTGCCGGCCAACTCTGTTTTCACGCTTTAATTTTCTTCGACGAATGCGACGCGGTTTATTTTACGGCGATTACGGGATCGGGGGCGCTCTCTTGATTTTCGTTTTATTTCGGTTCTTATTGGATCCTGGATTTCTAGGGGGAATGTTGCTGGGATTTTCACAGAATTAATTTATTGATTTAACTTTATACTGGATATGTTGTATATAATATATCAAGACTGATATGATGAAAACTTAAGTACAGAATACAATAGTCATCTGATTTTTAATATTCTCCGGATTTCACCGGACATTCGTTTCATATTTTTCATCGATATTCCATCGATTTCGATTATAAGGAAGCTCGAGTCATCCGTGGTTAAGGTATTTTCAGCGAGTTCATAGTTTCCGCGATTAATTTATGCGAAAAATGGTTTTGGCGCTGTAATGAGCACGGGGTGTACCAGGAGGTGGCGCCGTGCCGATAATTTATAAAAATGATATTTACCTTGGCGAAGCGTGACCGTAAGCCGTCTTAATATCTCTCATTACCGTCTCGCTCCTCGAGTCCCCGGTGACCGTGCAATTAAAAAGCTAAGATTGATAAATGACGGGGAATTAATGCTCCGGGGATGGAAAAGAAGGGATGAAAGTTGGGGATGGAATCGGGGCTGGAGCGTTTAGAGGCCAGCTAGCAGAAGAGGGACAGGGTGATTGCGGGTGGCTTAATGGTGTTTGTATGCATGGGAACCGGCTTTAGGGGTGAGGTGGTTATCGCCCGGTACAGTTTGCACCGAAAATCGGAAACGTGCTTCGAAACGCTGAAAACTTTTACCCTCGACATATGCGTATACAGATACATCTTCCACTCGTCAAATAAAAAATAACAAGAATCTGAAATTTCTTTTCGAATGATCGTTGTCTAGATAACTAAAAGTATGACGGTATAAACTCAACTTCTATGATATTTGCGAATTCACATCTATTACGAAGCACCGATACTCAAAAGTCTTAAAACAATAAGCATAGATTATATAAACAGAGTTTCGTCTGGTCGAGTTCACGATCTGCACTTCCTTCGTCATCGACAGAAACACAAATATCGTTCATACAGAACACAGTTCATACAGACTACAATGATCGGACATCTGGACGCACACACTGGCAGCAACGTGTTTATTATAACTATCGAATCTTCAAGTTCATCACCTAAACCTGTTACCAGCGCACGAACGTATTATACCCGACCAGTTCCACGCATTAATCTGTCAAGCGGCATTGCGTCTATCGCGAGTAGCAAGTCGATCAATTAAACAATACGAACGCGGAGCAGGCCGCAACAGTGATTAACGAATACCTCGAACAATCGTGTTACAGGTGACGCGAGTAACGCGAGTATCGGCAGCGGTGAGGGCACCGGCGAGGAAGACGACGATTCGTCGGGTAAGAAGAACCAGAAGAAGCGGGGTATCTTTCCCAAGGTCGCGACCAACATCCTCAGGGCGTGGCTGTTTCAACACCTCACGGTAAGTGTCTACAGTTGTCCATCGTCGTGTTCCGCGCGCGTCGACGTTCCACTCCGCGAGTCGTCGGCCGGCGTCGCCGAGCGACGAGCTCCCGTCCTCGTCATCGCTGGCGCGTCCACGGTCTTCAACAGTCTCTCTCCGCGTTCGCGCGTTCTTACGCCGCGCGCGAACAGAAGCAAAACAACCGGGGCGTCGTTCAACGGTAGCACGGTCGAGGACCGCGCGACCCGCGAGCCGGTCCACAATCAGCGACTTATCAAAGCACGCTTAACCTCCGGGAGCGAAGATAAACGAGCGGGGAGCGAAACCCGCCGGCAAAAAGAAACATTTCCCAAATTGCTTTTACTCCGAGGAAAGCCGTGCCGCCGTGACGCTGGGGTGGAAAACGAAGACGGAAAAACGCGCTCGCCGTCGGGGGGAGACACTAATCTCCTAATGCCAAGATAAGGAGGCCGGCCGCCTACCCTCCTCCCGCCCTGTACACCGCGATCTTTCTCGATCCTGCCGTAGCATCTAATGATTCACGGGTAATCTGAGCCGCAAAAAGCGCAACGCGATTAAAGGGACGTGGGAAGGAAGCGGCGCGTGGGGAGGAAGAGAGCGTGTTGCCGTGTTGGCCGACGGTAACCGCGGTTGCGTAACGTTGCGCAGCAATTCGGAGCACGGTACATTGTCCCTCATACTACGGACACCCCATAGATTTCGGGTGTGATCAGGTTACCTTGCGAGAGCGGTAATCATATTGCAGCTCGGTTAATGCCATTACCGCACCGGCGGAGGGAGGCTTGCCAGCCACCCTCGAAGCCACCCTGCAACCAGCCCGCTCGCCGCCCTTCCCTCTCCGTCCCGCGCCACGCTGTTCACGCAGCCGCCTCCTCGCTCCTCCGCCGCCCGGCTTCGGCAACCCCCCTAACAACGTGTATTGGATATGACGTCGGGGATAGTGGGTTCATGGTTTAATGCATATACGCTGTTTGCACGATGACGATATCGCGCTTGTGAAAAGACGAGCGCACGGAGCCTGGGCTCGTTCGCTAGCGCCGTTCCGCTCGCCGTCGATGTATAGCGACCAGCCGTCGTTCCTCTCGTTCGTTTAATCGCGTCCTCGAGAGGCCCCGACGACTTTCGCGCGCGATCCTAGGCTTGAGAGGATTTTAATGCGCGTCGGCTCTTGGGTAGCCTTCTTTTTTGCACTTCGAGCGACCTTACGCGGCGGAATTGACTGATGCGTGGTGAATTTCGATGTGATTCGTCTTTTCGGAGATTTTCTGCTGAATATAGGATATCTTCTAGCTGTAGGATAAAGGGTTCTTGTCGAGGATTTAGGTGTTTGACGTGTTGGCAACGGTTCTCGTTAGAACGCCAAGCGTTGACATTTCGATGTGTTAGATATCAGTCGGTTACAAATGACTCCTATTTAAACGAACCCCTAAAAGACACAGAGGCGAATGGAAAAAGGGACTTCCCTGATTTCTTGGGTGGAACGGCGCCCTTGGCGATAAATTACGAATAATTACAAGGCAAAAATAAGCACGCATCAGCGGTTGGGATTCACGGATTCGCGGCCGGCGCTATTACGCGGCGTATCCACTGGCAGGGATCCACCGCGAGGGTTTTTCGCGACGGTCGTCTCGCGAGCATTCGCCTCGGCGTTATTACGAGCGATTAAGCGACTGCACCGTGAACCGGAATTCATTCGACGCGCTGGGTACATATTACGCCTTAAAAGAGTAAGTGACTCGACGCGACGCGACGCGGCGCGACGCAAAGCGTGTATTCACTCGGCTGGCAGCCTCTTTAAGAGACCCCCGGTAACCCTGCGTTCCCTGCCCCTCCCCCTTTTTCTCCGACCGAACGAATTACGGCCTCAACAGTCCTGATTTAGCGTCCCAATCTTTCTCCCGCGATGACTTACGGGCCGCAACAAGGTCTACGCGTTCAACTCGGCGCTCACCCCGCGCGCGACCGTGTTTCGCCCGGTAATTATTATAGAACAGATGTCGGTAACGGTGAATGTAGCGCAACTCGGCTGTAACGTGTTCTCCCCCTTTCACTGGAACTACAAACTTAATTGGTCGAGGATAAATTGATAATAATAATGTCACGTTTCCGCCAATTTGTACGGTTACTTGAATCGAATTTAACTACGCGCAACGCGATGAATAATTGGCCGGATCCTCGTGGAACGGAGCGGCGGCTTCAGGTAGCGCAGACGCCTTCCCGACGTTGTTTATTGAAAGGCTTTTGCTGCAAAGGCTGGCATCTTCTGAAGGCTCGAGCGGGACGCGCGAATAGCGTTATATTTTACTACTATGTAGTCGCGTTGCCATTATCAGTCTCGTAAACCACTTCGCGTCTCTTTAATTGGAGTTACAATCTTCAACAAGTTCAACGACAACGCTCGTAAACTACACCCAGGCACATTCGACAAGACGGACGATTCGATCCTTCATAGACGCAACGGTACGTCGAGGAATTGTCGTCTGTTACGTCTGATAATTACCAACGATCCCATCCTACCGTTCCGTTCGTCAAAATTCCATCGGGATTCCCAGAAACCGGGACGTTATTAATCCAACGAAAACCGAGCGGCGATCCGCGTCGACGACTAATTCCCGAGCAAATCAGTGCGCGGGGTCGAACTTGAATTCCGGGCCGCGGCAGCGGTAAATTTATCAGCCTGAAGGCGCGCGCGTGCTCGTCGCCTCCGCCGCGCCGTTCCTCGGAGGCGGTCGGGTGTCGTCATCGGAGAATTCGGTAGCCGGCCACCGGCCGCGTCGTTTCACCCCGTCGGCGAAACATTTCGGAACCGCGACGGTCCGCGCCAAGGAATTCGTCGGGGCGCGCCAATAACCTGTCCCCGTTCGCCGCTGCAGACGCCAATCCGCGGGCCGCGTTCCGCATTGACGTAGGACGAACGGGGAAACGGGCGACGGGGCTCGTGACGGGCATAGTTTACATACGCTCATAGACGGATGGCCCCGGTCCGAGCGAGGCGAGCCCGCGAGCCCCGCGGTCGTAGACGGTGGAAAAGAGAAAAGGGACCGGCGCGGCGGTTCTCGGCTTGACGTTAGATCAAAGGAGACGAATACGCGAGAGAGCGACACGGCTCCGAGGAGACAGAGGGAGGAACGCGCGCGCGGACCTCGGCATCCCGGACGGCCGGGTATAAATTAAATTAATTTGATGGAGGCGGTGCCGGCCGGCTCGCATTCGTCCGCTCGCAGTTACATTTCTTTTCGGCCGAGAGCTCGGCACGCACGCGCGAATCTCGTGGAAATCGGTTTTTACTGCCGGGAAATATTTATCGGCCGTTGAAACGGTGCCGATCCGATCCGCGACTCGCCGCGGACGAAGATTTATATTTCGGACGTTTCGCCCGGTAATTCGGTATGAATTATGGAAACGATCGACCGCGCGCAGGAATCCGAAGTGCCGAGGTTTCGTTTTTCACTGTTGCGGAAACTATTTATTCGATCGTCCGGCCGCGAGTTAGACAATTATTTCGCACGGCCGGCGAATTATTTCCTCGTTGTTGTCGCTGGAACACATGTCACTTCGGGATCACTTGGCTGGGAAACATTGTCGATGCTCGCGTGACTCGGTATTTAGGTTTCACCCTGTCGCGAAGGGATTCGGGAATTTTGATCTTTCGACTATATGTGTTTTAACCCTTTGCATTCGGTTGATTTGACATAGGAAAATTGTAGAGTTTCATATTTTATGTTAAACTTTTGTAACGCATCGATATAGGAAATGTCGAAATAAAATAGTATTGTTCCTTGGTTTATTAGCGATGTCTTGTCAAGTTAGCTGCAGAAAATGTTGTCCGCATTTCATTAGAAGAGGTACTCGTTAATAATATCTTTCTTTAGCCAAAGAAGTTTCTTTAATGAACAGATCAACGCTATTTTGGTAAGAGATCGCAGTAACGCTGTCGGGAAATCGTTTCGAGTATACGCCGCTGGGTCGGCGTCTTTCTACTACCATTTGCGCCAGGTTTCCGTCGCTTTCGCCCTCGTTCTCTCTTGCCCTCCCGGTTGTCATTTTGAAAGCCATCCGACGACCGCCCCTCACCGTCCGTTCGTACGTCTGTCCGACCAGCCAGCGTACCAACCAACCAACTCTGTGACCCTCCCCAAGTTTAATTAGACGGAAGAGGAGCATACATCATGGTCGACTCCGTGTCCCGACCTTCCACGCCAGCCAACTTGGGCTTTCCAGAATTGTGGCCACCGACCTACTACCACTCCCGCCTCTGCCTTCCTTGTGCACACCTTCGGGAGCGATGTTTCAAACGCTGTCTCTCCGCTGGGATTGTTCCGCCAGGATTCTGCGAGAAAAGCCTTGGAAGACTTTGGACGTTTAAAATGTGGACCTTTCTTCTTTGTTGTACCAAACAGTTGCATTAGCGATGAAAAAGTTCAACTCCGAGTGGTTGTTCCTTGAAATCGACAATGAATTTCGAACTTGACGTCGCGGGGAGTCTTATATCCTTAAAGTTTCCACAGACATTTCAATGATAATACGACCAATATCATCTCGACGAGGCAGATATCCCGACACCAAGTTTCCATGAAAGCTCAGCCAAGCGAAATCACGATCGGTCAGGATCACCGCGGGGATTCATTTCGAAAATTTCCCGTAGCTGGTAACAATTACGCGAGACGGCGCAATAATCCGAAGACGGGGGCGGTCGGTCGCTCGCCGGGGGAAAAAGAAGAAAGATTGAAGATGGAGTCGACATATATAATCCATTTTAATTTACTCTGGAAGATATATCCGTCTAGCTTGCAGTTTCCCGCGACTACGCTCCACCCCCCTGGGCGCCCGTCGTCCCCCTTCGTTCTTCCATTTTCTACCTCTGCCTTTTCCCCCTGGCTGCGCCGGTCTGCGCGGCGTCGTCCTTATCCCTAGATACCGTAGTCTTCTTATATCAATGGAAGCATTTCGCGAAATTACATTTGCCAGTTCCGCGCGGCGCGCCACTCCGTTTCACG